CGATGACGCAGTGCGTGTCTGCCTGGTCGTCGTGCTCCAGTTATTTTTTCTGGGACGAAAGCCAACCCACAACATTGAAGATCAGATTTTGCATCTGGTTGACGATCCCGAGTCTTGGAACCGATACCTGTGGGGCTCATACATACGGCGTCTGACATACCCTCAAATAAAGAATGCTTTCGAGCGGCACAGACACAACAATTGGCCGCCCTCGAAGTACACACTATACGGTTTCATATATGCCTTCAAGGTCGGTGAATTTTTTACAGCAATGTTAAACTACTTATTTAGTGATTATTTGATATTCTCTAACAAACAATTTTTTCTTAACATACCAGATATGGATCTTGGAGGCATTGCCCGGAACTCGACCCTATTTTCGTTATCTTCCTTCCCTCCCGAGGGCTATTGGATGGCAACGAATTAAGATGATGAATTGGGAAGAGTGTTGTGCACTATAAACCATTGCCAAGGTTTGGTTTCATTGATTATAATTTTAACATTTGACAGCTTTTTTTTTGGTTAACTATGTTCCAAATTATATATTAATTTATATTTTTATAGAAATCCTCTCGGCCCCTGACCGAGTTGGTGCCAACATATTTGGAGGAGTCGGCCCAATGGTGGATAGACAGCATTGAATATATAGAAAGGAATAATTATGGACGCCCGGATAATAACGATGCTGACGCGGACTTCCAATCATCAGGACCACGTCAGTCCTTTGCCGCGCACACGTCTGAAAGACCTACATACGAGCAGCAAACTCGCCATTCATCAGCTGCAAATATGGACACACAATGGCGTGATGAATGGCTCAAACATTAGGCTCAGGTCGATGGGAGGCTCGCTTCAATAGAAGCGAGATTATCTGAATTTGTGCGTGGGTAAAATACGGCTAATCCTCCACAATACAGTAGGCCGCATGAGGTCTACGTAAGAGCATTTATTCTTGTCGATGTTTTAATTTGCACGTTAAAAATTACATAAACAATAAATTTGCACGTTAACAATTACATAAACAATAAATTTATATTGGATGTCGCAGCATCAGCCTCCGATGACGCATGCGGCGACATATATACCAGATGCTTTTCCATCATGGGATGCGGTAAATATGTTTAAGGTTTTATTGATTTTATTTTAATAATTAACAAGTATATTAAAGAAATTTATTTTTATTGAATATTTTTGCTTAAACAGTACATACCGACGCCCTACACCCCAATGGATACGGTAAGTTGTGGCTTCATAATGTTTTTATTTATGAAGTCAATAATTAAATTAGATAAACTTTTTAATAAATATTAGCTTGTGCCTACACAGTCTATGTCGCAGTAGCAACCTCCGATGGATGCTGCGGCATCTACACAATGCGACGTTCCATTGGTCGCTAAGAAAGATGATGCCACCGTACCCGACCTGCCTGCGAAGCGATTGACCAAGAAATCGCGGTGGATCTCCTCTCCTTGGACCGCATTTTAAAGGGAAAAAAGGAGAAGAAAGTCGTTGATGAAGAGGCAGGCGTCGCACAGTTGTATGACTCCGGTCGGTTAACCTCGGTTAGGTTAACGACGCTCCAGTATATGGAAGTTGACGTGGAGTTTTGGGGATAACTGTTGGGCAAGCTTGGTTCAGGCTATTTGGGAAACGAAGTATGAGAATTACACAAATTTGTATAAGTTGAAAAAATCTATTTTTTTTCGCATTTAATTATAATTGATTCATTGTTTTGTATTTTTAGCATCTTGACGCGTGGACCATCTATCTTCTCCGACAGAGGCGACCAACAGACCGTTGGACCATCATGTTGCCTTGTTGGATAACAAATTTATCCACCGAAGGGCTTGGGTCTAGGTCGCAGAAGATGTGGGGCGATGGTAGACACAAGCCATTTCCGTCATGGTGAGACGTCGACCGGGTCGGTAGAATACGGTTTCAATTTTTTTCCGTACATAAGATATTTTATTTATCAATTGTTATTCACAACTTATTTTTCCAGGTAATCATCCCAATTAACATACCGAATGCTCATTGGGTGACCGGGGAGCTCGACCTGAGGTCATGGCATTTGACCGTATACGATACTTGTCCGCCGCACATGTTCAAGAAAGAGACCATTAGAATCATCCACATGCTGAAGCAATCCCTCCTCGAATTATATTCAACGTATGACATCGATATTATATTCAACGCGTTTTGCTTAATCCAAATAATAAATTTATTCCTTGTAAATGACATTGTTTGCACTATTTTATGAAATGTTCTTCAATAATAAGAAAGGGGACTTGTCACATCATCATCATTTCAGTGTAATACATTTTAAAAGATCGAATAAGTTTTTTACCCGATAATACTAAATTTTGTCATGCGGATAGAGTTCCTTAATTCTTTCTATTGCTTTTTTTTTCAATGTCCTCTTCATTCTACCTAATGTGTATTCCAGTCTCCCCGCATGCAAGCTCGAACCATGCCTCGTGGTTAAGGTTTTCCGCCTCTTTGATTTTCTTTCGTGTATCAGCAATCCAGCACTTTTGTTGTTTAATCTGCTGTTTTGCATCAGCAATCCATCTCGTCCGCTCGTTCATCTCATGTTCAATCTTCTCCTTTTTTGAACCAAGGTCCGCACGTTTTTGCTGTAGTATATCCAATTTCAGTTCGTAGTCCTTGATAGCCTCTCTCACATCATCGGGCATTTTTTCAGGTAGTTGACTTCTCCACCATTCTTCTCCAAGCCTCTCCCACTCCTCATTCGTTGTTGGAACTTTAAAATTACAACTGGACGAGCTTCCGTCCATTGTTATAAAGAAAACAGGAAAACTTAGCCAGTAATATGTCCTCTAACAACAACCCATTTTATAGAAACATTTGATACCAACAAAGAAGCTTATATTTTTTTTGCAAAATAATGTCAAAAATAAATTAAAAATTGGATCGCCCCTGAGGATAGAGTCACCAAAGTCGAGGCAAAAGGGGGGCGATAGTACATTGGTACGGTTACGGGTCAGGGTTTCAGGACGAATCTTGTAAGCTTTATGTCAGCGACGATTTAACAACTCATAGCTTTATGGCAGGTTCATGACTGGAATTTGTAAAAAAAAATTCACTTTGTGCATTTTGTAAGCATTTTTGACCCTTCTCAGAGGCTAATCCAGATTATATTTTCTAAATCAAAGTTGTAGGTTGGTAGCACACGAGTATATTAGTTTTGGAATCGTCTCATTTGGATCATCCATCTATTTTATATGAATTTTAGAAAACTGCATATTAATAACGAAAAATGTGCAAACAGCCTAAAAACCCGACAGGGTCCAACCATTTCGAGTCATAATTAGATTTTCGACCGGGTCCAAACACTTCAAGTCATAATTGAAAAATAAAATGGATCGCCCTGATGGTAGATTCACCAAAATCGAGGCAAAAAGTGGGGGCGATAGTACATTGGTAGGGTTATAGGTCAGGCTTTTCCAGGACGAATCTTTTAAGCTTTATTGACGAATCTTGTAAGCTTTATGTCAGGGATGATTTAACAAGTCATACCAGGTTACAGTCCGGATTTGACCACACCATGCCAACTATTAAATCGTAGGCTATGACAGTGAATTGGTAGGTTCACGGGTGAGGGTGCCAGGAAGAATCTTGTAAACTTTATGTTAGGGACGATTTAACAAGTCATGCAGGTTCATGACCGGATTTGACCACACCATGCCAGCTACTAGACCAACTTATTTAAATCGTAAGTCCCGAAAGTGTATAAAAAGGATTCCTTGTGAAATCATATATCACAACTT